TTGCCCCATCTACACTGACCCATAGCAGTCCGAAACTGGTTCTGGAAGGAAGTGGTTTGGTTTCGCAGTACAGATGATTTGGAAGATTTTAAACAGAGGCTGGATGGCCATCTGTCAGGGGTGATTTGAATGCAATATTCCTGCTTCTTGGCAGGGGGTTGGACTGGATGGCCCATGAGGTCTCTTCCAGCTCTTTGATTCTATGATTCTATGATTCTATGATTACATTATGTAAAACAATTTCTGTTCCTGGGCGTGTGAAATTCGTGTGTAGAAATGTTAATGCTTTTTTAGTGTCTTTGGAAGCACAAAACAGGAAGTCCCCTCCCTGCACAAAAATCTGCTCGACACAAAAGCCTGCATTCGTGTACATCTGAACTGGCCTCCTTGCCTTGGAAAGAGTGTGCGTGCATGGCAGGGCATGCACGCATGCACACCTGGAGCTTGGCTTCAGACGCACTGTGGGCCTGCCTGCACGCCCTGCCACACACTCTAGGAAAGTGTGTCGAGGAGTGTGTGGTGGGGAGTGCAGGTAGGCTTGCAGCACAGTTGCAGCTGAGTGCCTCTTACTCAAGGCACACTGTGGGCCTGCCTGCACATCCTGCCACACGCACTCTAGGAAAGTGTGGCGGGGTGTGTGTGGCGGGGAGTGCAGCTGAGTGCCTATTACTCAAGACACTGTGGGCCTGCCTGCACATCCTGCCACACGCACTCTAGGAAAGTGTGGTGGTGTGTGTGTGTGGTGGGGAGTGCAGGCAGGCCTCCCCGCCTGTAGCTGAGTGCCTCTTACACAAGACACACCGTGGGCCGGCCTGCATGCCCTGCCACACGCACTCTAGGAAAGTGTGGCGGGGAGTGCATGGAGGGGAGTGCAGGCAGCTTTGCAGCACAGCTGCAGCTGAGTGCCTCTTACTCAAGACACATTGTGGGCCTGCCTGCATGCCTTGCCACACACACTCTAGGAAAGTGTGGCAGGGTGTGTGTGGTGGGGAGTGCAGGCAGGCCTGGAGCACAGCTGCAGCTGAGTGCCTCTTACTCAAGACACACTGTGCACCTGCCTGCATACCCTGCCACACACACTCTAGGAAAGTGTGGCGGGGTGTGTGTGTCTTGAGTCAGTGCCTCTTACTCAAGACACACTGTGGGCCTGCCTGCACACCCTGCCACACACACTCTAGGAAAGTCTGGCGGGGTGTGTGTGTCTTGAGTCAGTGCCTCGTACTCAAGACACACTGTGGGCCTGCCTGCACGCCCTCCACACACACTCTAGGAAAGTGTGGCGGGGTTGTGTGGCGGGGAGTGCAGGCAGGCCTGCAGCACAGCTGCAGCTGAGTGCCTCTTACTCAAGACACACTGTGGGCCTGCCTGCACGCCCTGCCACACACACTCTAGGAAAGTGTGGCGTGTGTGTGGTGGGGAGTGCAGGCAGGCCTGCAGCACAGCTGCAGCTGAGTGCCTCTTACTCAAGACACACTGTGGGCCTGCCTGCACGCCCTGCCACACGCACTCTCGGAAAGTGTGGCGGGTGTGCATGGCGGGGAGTGCAGGCAGGCCTGAAGCACAGCTGCAGCTGAGTGCCTCTTACTCAAGACACATTGTGGGCCTGCCTGCATGCCCTGCCACACACACTCTAGGAAAGTGTGGCGGGCTGTGTGTGGTGGGGAGTGCAGGCAGGCCTGCAGCACAGCTGCAGCTGAGTGCCTCTTACTCAAGACACACTGTGGGCCTGCCTGCATGCTCTGCCACATGCACTCTAGGAAAGTGTGGCAGGGTGTGTTTGTGGCGGGGAGTGCAGGCAGGCCTACAGCACAGCTGCAGCTGAGTGCCTCTTACTCAAGACACACTCTGGGGCTGCCTGCACGCCCTGCCACACACACTCTAGGAAAGTGTGGTGGGGTGTGTGTGGCAGGGAGTGCAGGCAGGCCTGCAGCACAGCTGCAGCTGAGTGCCTCTTACTCAAGACACACTGTGGGCCTGCCTGCACGCCCTGCCACACACACTCTAGGAAAGTGTGGCGGGGTGTGTGTGGAGTGCAGGCAGGCTCAAGACACACTGTGGGCCTGCCTGCACGCCCTGCCACACACACTCTAGGAAAGTCTGGCGGGGTGTGTGTGGCGGGGAGGGTAGGTAGGCCTGCAGAGCAGCTGCAGCTGAGTGCTTCTTACTCAAGAGTAAGAGGCACTCAGCTACAGGCACTGCACGCCCCATCACACGCTGTCACACACGCTCTCTAGGAAAGTATGGTGAGGCATTTGTGGAAGTGAGTGCAGGCATGCCTGCAGCGCGGTTGCACCTCTGTGCCTCTTACTTTTGAGTAATAGGCACTCAGATGCAGGCACTAGCAGGCACGCATGCTTTCCGGGCCTGCCTGCATGCCCCGCCACACATGCACACTTTCCAAGGAGAGTCTGTGGTGTGTGGTGGCGCGTGCAGGTACACCCACAATGTGCGTGCTCCTCCCATTGCCTACCTGCAACTGAGCACCTCCAAGCAGTCATGCCGGTCACATAACCAGGAGGTGACAATGCAGGCTTCTCGGCTTGGAAATGGAGAACAGCACCTCCCCAGAGCCAGATATAAGCACTGCCTTCAGAGCTGGAAAGGAAAGGAGAAGCCTTTGCCTTTGTTTGTGCGTCTCATTGTACTGTGGCAAGGCATTGAATGTTTGCTTGTATCTGTTCACATTGTAATCCGCTCTGAATCCCCACAGGGAGAAGGGCAGAATATAAATAAACTATTATTATTATTATTATTATTATTATTAATCCATCTGGATAACTTTTAACTGAATTCTTTAATTCCATATTTAATTCTGTTTTGAAGTTTATATATTTTAAATTGTGCTCAAATACTTTTAATATAAGCACTTTAAGTCTCCGTGTGAAGAGAAATAGCATAAACATAAACATAATAATAATAACAACAACAACAACAACAACAATAATAGCAACAGCAACAATAATCCAAGAAGAGGCCCAAAATCAGAATGCTGCCACCCAGAAATAACATGAAATGGGAGCTGGCTTTGGAGGAGCCTTTAAAAAACAAGACATATGTGGCAGTTTACCAACACGAGAGCGGAAACAAAAAGTACATAGTTAAAACATTAGACGGAAGACTTTACCAGTTAACCGACACGAAGCAAATGTGGACACGCACACAACAACGCACAGAGATCGGTGAGGCAAACATGGCCAAATGAATAAGATACATGAAGCAGTCAGGTGGAAGGAGTGGAAAAGAAAGAGGAAAAGTTCCAGAAAGGAGGCAATAGACTAGAGATTGGCAACAAGAGGATGGCCAAAGTCAGCCGGTATTTATCAAAATATTAAAATACACCATTTAAAACCGTCCTAGTCATCCATGTCAAATCTAATGCGCCTGGTCATCTTTCCTATTGCTGCTTTATTGCCTTGTCCTGAAAGCTTGGTCCCACAGCCAAGTGTTTACCATCCTTCTAAAGGACAGGAGAGAGGGGGCCGACCTGATCTCACCAGGAAGGGAGTTCCATAGCCGGGGAGCAATCACCGAGAAGGCCCTGTCTCTTGTCCCCACCAATCGTGGCTGTGACAATGGCGGGATGGAAAGCAGGACCTCCCCAGAGGATCTTAATCTCCCCGATGGTTCATAGGGAGAGATGCGTTCGGACAGGTAATTTGGGTCAGGGCCGTTTAGGGCTTTATAGGCCAAAGCCAGCACTTTGAATTGTGCCCGGTAGCAAACTGGCAACCAGTGGAGCTGGCATAACATGGGAGTTGTATGCTCCCTGTATGCCGTCCTAATTATTAATGTGGCTGCCTCTTGTTGGACTATTTGAAGCTTCCGAGCAGTCTAGTTCCAACAGACCTCACTACCTCTGAGGATGCTTGCCATAGATGCAGGTGAAATGTCAGGAAAGAATGCCTCTAGAACATGGCCATATAGCCCGAAAAAACCTACAACAACCCAGTGATTCCCGCCATGAAAGCCTTCGACAATACAATGAAAACTAATTCGGAGACACCATTCTGAAGATCAACTCCTACAATGACTAAATGATCAACTACCTACTTGCTAAATTGTAATTAAAACCTGCTAATGAGAACTGAAATGGTTGACCTGCATAGTAAACAACAATAAGAACTGTGTTAAGAGAAATGTTTACATCTGTGAACATTTGCTGACCAGAAACGGGATTAACTCTAAAGGAAATTATCTCTGTTTACATTATTAGGGGCAATGGCTCTAAGTTAAGGAACTGTTTACAAGGTTCCTTACGTTAAGAAGGAAGTCAACACAAGGCTCCTTACGTTTACCAACACCAATTAAGAAGAGTCAACATCTGTCAGGAAGAGATGAAGCCAGGAAGGTTGAAAACAATAATTTTACACTGCATCTACAAACCTACAACAACCCGGTGATTCCGGACATGAAAGCCTTCGACAATACAATTTGCTATCCGCCTTTTCTTTTGGCTACGCTCAAAATTAACTTGACAATAGGAAAACCTTGGATTCATCTCTACTGTAGACTGAATCCATTTTAATTGCCTTGGTTCAATACTATGGAATCATGGGGGCTTAGTTTGTCAAGGTTTTGAGCCTTCTCTGCCTAAGACTGATGCCTTGACAAACTACAAATCCCAGGATTCCATAGCATTGAGTCAATACCATTAAATGAGAGATGATGTCACTGAAAGAGGTGCTCCAAGGACTCCTGAAGCACCTTCAAACTTTTGTTTTGGTTCAGCACTAAGATTACCGTATTGTGCAAATCTAACGCACATCTTAATTTTGGAGAAGTCATTTAGTCACAAAAGGTGAGCATTAGAATCGAGTAATACCACTTTTGGCCATCATTGGTTGCCATTGTCCATCTTGACTGTATCAGGAACCTTCTGAAAGCTCGAGGTTGGAGGAAAGAGACAGAAGGATGTGGAGAAAGCTCGAGACAGAGAAATGGAAGATGGTCGGCAACGCAAAGGCGAGGCAGAGTGCGGCTCCGCCCACAAAAAGACTCACCTATTAGCACCTCCCACTTCCCACTGGCTTGCGTGACTTCGTAGGCGCAGCGCATCTCACTCATGCTCACGCCCCCCAGGATAAAGATGATGATGCGGGGACCGCTGCGGTACTCCCCGGGGGCCTTGTTCTTATGCCAGTGGCCGTAGCGAGCACTGCATGCAAGAGAGAAGAAAAGGAGAAGTAAAGGCAGTGGGTGGGGTCATGCAAATTCCACACCAATGGGGAGAGTCAGAAACACTGGGATGTCTGTGGTGGAACAAAAAAATAGAAAACCTAGGATGAAATTGTCCCCGTATGAAAGCCTTCACTTGGGTGGTGGACATCTTGGTGTTGGTGGAGGACATTGGCAGGGCTCTTGGACATGTTCATGGCACTCGCTATAACCTGCAACGTCATTGGAGGGAGGGCCATTGGTGTCTCCTGAGGAGTGGGAGCTTGTCTGTGTAAGTGGACACTCCAGCCACATACATACATAAATATTTTCTCTTTTATTATGTTTATAGATATGTGTTTGGATTGTTTGTACTATATTAATATGTTGGAAGCCACTTTGGGTCCCTTTGTGGGAGAAAAGCAGCTGGCAGATGGTAAACTTGTCAGCACCGATTGTGTTTAAGTGCAGGTCAAGGTCTTTAGGCACTGCACCCAGTGTGCTGATTACCACTATATTATTATTATTATTATTATTATTATTATTATTATTATTATTATTATTAGCTGTACCCTGCCACGCGTTGCTGTGGCCTACTCTGGTGGTCATGGGGGTTCTGTGTGGGAGGTTTGGTCCAATTCTATCGTTGGTGGGGTTCAGAGTGCTCTGTGATTGTAGGTAAGCTACAAATCCTAACAACTACAACTAACAAATGTCAAGATTCTATTTCCCCCAAACTCCACCAGTGTTCACATTTGGGCATATTGAGTATTCATGTAGAGTTTGGTCCAGATCCATCATTGTTTGACTCCACAGTGATCTCTGGATGTAGGTGAACTACAACTCCAAAACCAAAGGACACTGCCCACCAAACCCTTCCAGTAATTGATGTGTGCCAAGTTTGGTTCAATTTGGTTCAGAATGCTACAAATGAACTACAAATCCCAGCAACGACAACTCCCAAATGACAAAATCAATTTTTGAGTGAAGGACATACATTGGGTTGTTAGGTGTCTTGTGTCCAAATTTGGTGTCAATTCGTCCAGTGGTTTTTGAGTTCTGTTAATCCCACAAACGAACATTACATTTTTATTTATATAGACTAGCCATCCCCTGCCACGCATTGCTGTGGGCCACATGGGGGGACTGTGTGGGAGGTTTGGCCCAATTCTATCGTTGGTGAGGTTCAGAATGCTCTGTCATTGTAGGTGAACTATAAATCCCAGCAACTACAACTCCCAAATGTCAAGATTCTATTTTCCCCAAACTCCACCAGTGTTCACATTTGGGCGTATTAAGTATTCATGTAGAGTTTGGTCCAGATCCATCATTGTTTGAGTCCACAGTACTCTCTGGATGTAGGCGAACTACAACTCCCAAACGGAAGGTCCATGCCCACTGAACCCTTCCAGTATTTTCTGTTGGTTATGGGAGAACTGTGTGCCATGTTTGGTTCAATTTCATCACTGGTGGAGTTCAGAATGCTCTTTGATTGTAGGTGAACTACAAATCCCAGCAACTACAACTCCCAAATGACAAAATCAATTTTTTGAGTGAAGGACATACATTGGGTTGTTAGGTGTCTTGTGTCCAAATTTGGTGTCAATTCGTCCAGTGGTTTTTGAGTTCTGTTAATCCCACAAACGAACATTACATTTTTATTTATATAGATTATTATTATTATTATTATTATTATTATTATTATTAGTGACCAGAACACGGACCAAAATCTACTCATCCTCATCAGAATAACATTAATTTCCACCTGAGAAACTTTCCTCTTACCTGACTGCTGTAGTGCTGAAAGAGGCTGAGGATCGGGTGGAGATGTAAGGGTAGTGTTTGGTATCCAGTTTATCCTCAATGGCATCCTGGGAAGAAGAAAAAAGGCCAAGTGATTGATATTTCTGAAAAATGTTCTGTAAGCCATGTATAGTGTGGGAAAAGGGTGCTTACTAGTGCAACATGCTCTCTAATAATAATTATTATTTAATAATAATAATAATATTTAATAATTAATGATAATTATTATTATTAATAATAATAATTTAATAATTATTATTTAATTATATATTGATTAAATAATAATAATAAGAAGAAGAAGAAGAAGTAGTGTCCAGCTTGTAATCCAATACAACAGCCAGCAGAGTGATCTTGTTTGTTGTGGACTCATCTTGTTGTGTTTCAAATAACAACAACAACAACAATAGCAATAACAACAACTTCTTTATGTATATCCCACCACCATCTTCTTGAAAGGACTCGGGGAGGTTTACAAAGCAACAAAGTGCTTTGTATAAAACACAAGGCATCTGTGTAGTAATGGTGAGGCCACGGACCATTTTTTCGTTCTCGTGGACCACTGATGGTCCACAGACTACAAGTTGGGAACCACTGGTTTAATAGATCATCTTCATCTTGTTGGCAAACCATAGTTATAATAATAATTGTTCTAATAATAATAACAATACATCGAGGTGGTCCCAGAGGTGATCGGCACACAGGGTGCAGTGCCTCAAGACCTTGGCCTGCACTTGGAAACAATCGGCACTGACAAGATTACCACCTTACCACCTAACACCTACTCAGATCCACACACATTATTTGCCGATACACCACAGAGTCCTAGACACTTGGGAAGTGTCCAACGTGTGATCCAATACAACAGCCAGCAGAGTGATCTTGTTTGCTGTGTACTAATCTTGTTGTGTTTCAAATAATAATAATAACAACAACAACAACAACAACAACAATACATCACACAGTCCTAGACACTTGGGAAGTGTCCGACGTGTGATCCAATGCAACAGCCAGCAGAGTGTCTGCTGTGGATTCATCTTGTTGAGTTTCAAATAATAATAATAATAATAATAATAATAATAATAATAACAACAACAACAACAACAACAACAACAACAACAACAATACATCACACAGTCCTAGACACTCGGGAAGTGTCCGACGTGTGATCCAATGCAACAGCCAGCAGAGTGTCTGCTGTGGATTCATCTTGTTGAGTTTCAAATAATAATAATAACAACAACAACAACAACAACAACACAACACAGAGTCCTAGACACTTGGGAAGTGTCCGACGTGTGATCCAATGCAACAGCCAGCAGAGTGTCTGCTGTGGACTCATCTTGTTCTGTTCCAAATAACAACAACAACAATAGTAACAACAACAACTTCTTTATGTATATCCCACCACCATCTTCTTGAAGGGACTCGGGGAGGTTTACAAAGCAACAAAGTGCAACATGAACATATAAAAAACAAAGCAACTGTGTAGTAATGGTGAGGCCACGGACCATATTTTTGTTCTCATGGACCACTGATGGTCCACGGACCACAGGTTGGGAACCACTGGTTTAGTAGATTATCTTCACCTGGTTGGCAAACCATGGTTTAGACCAATGGCATCCAACCTTTGGTCCTCCAGATATCTGGGGCGCCAACTCCCCAAAGCCCTGGTTCTGCGTGCCAAGTTTGGTTCAGGTCCATCATCAGTGGAGGTCACACTTTCCATAGAATCATAGAATCCTAGACTTGGAAGAGACCTCATGGGCCATCCAATCCAACCCCATTCTGTCAAGAGGCAGGAAAATCACATTCAGATGGCCATCCAGCCTCTGTTTAAAAGCCTCCAAAGAAGGAGCCTCCAGCACACACTGGGGCAGAGAGTTCCACTGCTTAACAGTCAGGAAGTTCTTCCTCATGTTCAGGTGGAATCTCCTTTCCTGTAGTCTGAAGCCATTGTGTCCTAGTCTCCAGGGCAGCAGAAAACTAGCCAGCTCCCTTTTCCTTATGACTTCCCCTCACATATTGATACATCATGTCTCCTCTCAGCCTTCTCTACTCCTGCCCTATATTCAGAAGCTTTAACACCAGTTAACCTCCAATCCGCAGAGTGCCAAAGTCTCACCTCCATGATATCTTTGACTACCGGGGTCCATCGGGAGAGCTGGTAGGTCTGCTCGCTGATACGCTCCTTCCTTTCTGGCTTGCTTCTGCGGCGTAAAGTGGACTACACAAACAGGACAGAAAAGAACTAAGATGGAAGGAGTCTGAACAAAAAAAGAAATCCTTCCACTCACCTGGGATGTGGTTGGATCACAAATAGCATATGAACATCTCAAAAAACCCAACACAATTCCCAGTGACCAGGCCACTTGGCCATGAAGGCTGGAGGAGGAACTCTGAAGTTTCAGAAAGGACATTTCCCCAAGCTTTGCGTCTTCTTGCATCTTCTTCCTCCATTTTGGACCACAACAGTACCTTGTGAACAAGTTGTTCATGAGGGAACATCCTTGATAAGGTCGGGAAGAATTTTGGAAATGAGTTTTGAGGGGATCTCCACAGCTCTCTGAGGGTCCAAAAGGCAGAAACGGATCCATCCCAGTTGCCCATCCCAAGGCAGAAGGACTTACATCCGTAATAATGGGTATTCCAAGGTGTGCCATATTGGTGATGATCTCACTATCCTCTGGTGGGATTTGGGCATGCTGGATGAGCTTGTTGAGATTTTCTTCAGTAATGCCTGAAGGAAACACAAAAGAAGAAGACGGAGGCTCAACGGATGCGAGGATTGTTCAGAGGAAGGTTGCTTGGCCCTTCTTTGGAGACTGAGACTTGCCCAAGGTGGGTTTCTATGGACAAGTTTGGATTTGAAATGCAGTCTCTGGAGTTATAATCCAACTAGCTGTACCTGCCACGCGTTGCTGTGGCCAACCTCCCATCCCTCTTTCTCTCCTTCTTTCTTTCTCTCCTTCTTTCCCTTTCTTTCTTTCCTTCTTCTTTCCTTCTCTTCCTCTTCCCTCTCCTTCTTTTCTTTCACTTCCTCTTTCTCCCCATTTTTCCTTTCCTTCTCTACTTATTCTTGGACTGCAACTCCCAGCAGTCCTCCTGATCGATCTATCTACCTATCTCTAATCTATCTATCTGGAGGATTGCTGGGAGTTGTGGCCCAGGAATAGGAAATTGGAAATACACAGGGATTGGGATGATCTCAAAGAAATCCAAGGAGAAGAAAGCTTCCATCTTGGAAGCACTGCATTTGGATCCTCCTCCTCTCCTAAAGGGCCTGGTGTAGGGGATGCTGGGAGCTGTAGTTCAAACGAGAGTGTGGATATGCTATTGTGTGTTTTGTTTGGCAGGAGAGTCGTTTTTGCGCATGCGCTATAGCATCTTTTTGCTTTTGGGGCTTTTAAAGTCCCTTCCACTGTATTTTTCAGTGTTTTTATGAGTGATGGTCACTCATTGGCAAAAGCTGCACATCGCAAGTGCTGAACCTGACTCAGCACATAGAAGATGGCTTTGAAAGGCAGCAGATCACAGGAGCTGTCTTCATAGACCTGTCAGCAGCTTATGATACTGTGAACCACCACCTCCTCCTGAGAAAAAAGTATAATATCACAAAGGACTACCACCTCACCCCCTCATAGGAAACCTGCTGCAAAACAGGAGCTTTTTTGTTGAGTTCCAGGGACAGAGAAGTAGATGGCGGAAACAGAAGAACGGCCTGCCTCAGGGGAGCGTGCTTGCTCCATCCATGTTCAACATTTACACAAATGACCAGCCACTGCCAGAAGGGACAGAGAGTTTCATCTATGCTGATGATCGTGCCATCACCACTCAAGCAGGGAGCTTTGAGATGGTTGAACAGAAGCTCTCCGAAGCTCTAGGTGCTCTTACTGCCTATTACAGGGAAAACCAGCTGATCCCTAACCCATCTAAAACACAGACATGTGCCTTTCACCTTAAGAACAGACAAGCATCCCGAGCTCTGAGGATTACCTGGGAAGGAATCCCACTGGGGAATTGCAGCACACCCAAATATCTGGGAGTCACTCTGGACCGTGCTCTGACTTAAAAGAAGCACTGCTTGACTATCAAGCCAAAAGTGGGTTCGAGAAATAATATCATACGAAAGCTGACTGGCACAACCTGGGGATCACAACCAGACACAGTGAAGACATCTGCCCTTGCGCTATGCTACTCTGCTGCTGAGTATGCATGCCCAGTGTGGAACACATCTCACTAAAACAGTGGATGTGGCTCTTAATGAGATGCCGCATTATCAGGGGTGTCTGCGCCCTACACCACTGGAGAAATTACACTGTTTAGCCGGTATTGCACCACCTGACATCCGCCGGGAAGTAGCAGCCAATAGTGAAAGGACCAAGGCAGAGACATCTCCAGCTCATCCCTTGTTTGGGTATCAGCCAGCACATCAATGACTTAAATCAAGAAATAGTTTTCTAAGATCTACAGAGACACTCGCTGGAACACCTCAGCAAGCGAGAGTCCAAAAGTGGCAGGCTCAAACCTAGCACCTCAATCCGTGGGTGATACCAGAAGAGACTCCCCCCTGGGCACACAGAAGACTGGGCAACTTGGAAGGCGCTGAACAGACTGCGCTCTGGCACCACGAGATGCAGAGCCAATCTTAAGAAATGGGGCTACAAAGTGAATCCACGACATGTGAGTGCGGAGAAGAGCAAACCACTGACCACCTGCTGCAATGCAACCTGAGCCCTGCCACATGCACAATGGAGGACCTTCTTGCGGCAACACCAGAGGCACTCCAAGTGGCCAGATACTGGTCAAAGGACATTTAATCAACTACCAAGTTTGCAAAATTTGTGGGTTTTTTTATCTGTTTGTTTGTTTTGTTCTGTTAGAAATGTAATACAATGGTATGGTTGCTGATGACACGATAAATAATATAGTATGGGATTGTATTGTGTCCACATTTGGTGTCAATTCATCCATTGGTTTTTTAGTTATGTTAATCCCACAAACTAACATTATATTTTTATTTATATAAATGTTCTGTCATGAACTCCTCTGAATCTTGAAAGGAAGGATTTCAGACAGCAGCAAAAGAACAATGGTCAGCCCCTCCTCTTGTCTTCTTCCTGACTCTCCCTCTCTCCAAACCACAACATCTGGAATTAGGCAGAGATTTTGGACCCCCCCCCCCCCCCCCCCAAGTGGATGCATCTCCTACCGTTCTTGAGAAAGACGTAGAGCAAGATGATACGGATCTTGTCGTAGGTGCTGACGTTCGCATCCAGCAGGATGGGCACAATGGCTCTCATGGGATCCTTGATCTTCTCCCCTTCAGCATCAGTGCCCATGGCCAGGTCCTAAAGAGAAGGTGATAGCCCATTAGCAAAAAGTCAACTATTGAAGGCAGTAAGAAAAGAGGCAAAAGTCTGCAATACAGGTGGATTAATTCCACCAAAGACATCTTGGCCCCAACCTTTGTGATCTTGCATCTCATGGTTAACATTTTATTTATTTATTATTTATTTATTTCTTGTACTTATTGACCGCCACTCTCAGCCCTAGGGGCGACTCGTGGCGGTGAACAACAACATAGAAAGACAGTATACAAAAATCACGACAGTACATCAAGACTACTACTACAACACATACTTATCCTAAAAATCCGCTTCGTCTAGTCCTAGGGTCATAGCCAAGTTCGTAGTCATAGTCCATTCTAAGTCGTTACACCAATACACTTAGTTGAAGGCCCGCTCGCAGAGCCAAGTTTTCAGGCTCCTGCGAAAGGCCATCAAAGAGGGCGCCTGTCTAACTTCAGTAGGGAGGGTGTTCCACAACCGGGGGGCCACCACCGAGAAGGCCCGCTCCCTCGTCCCCGCCAGACGTGCCTGTGAGGCAGGCGGGACCGAGAGAAGGGCCTCCCCGGATGATCTCAAGGCCCTCGTGGGCTCGTAGGCCGAGATGCGGTCTGCAAGGTATTTTGGGCCGGAACCGTTTAGGGCTTTGTAGGCTAACACCAGCACCTTAAATTGGGCCCGGTAGCAGATCGGCAGCCAGTGGAGCTGGGACAACAGGGGCGTTGTATGCTCTCTGCGCCCTGCTCCTGTTAACAACATGGCTGCCGCGCGTTGGACAAGCTGAAGCTTCCGGGCCGTCTTCAAGGGCAGCCCCACGTAGAGAGCGTTGCAGTAGTCCAGGCGGGATGTGACCAAAGCGTGTACCACCGTGGCCAAGTCAGGCTTCCCAAGATACGGGCGCAGCTGGCGCAAAGCCTAAGCTGTGCAAATGCTCCCCTGGTCACCGCCGAGACCTGGGGCTCCAGGCTCAGCGATGAATCCAGGATCACACCCAAGCTGCGAACCTGCGCCTTCAAGGGGAGTGCGACCCCGTCCAGCACAGGCTGTAACCCTATACCCTGTTCGGCCTTGCGACTGACCAGGAGTACCTCTGTCTTGTCTGGATTTAATTTCAGTTTGTTCGCCCCCATCCAGACCATTACAGCGGCCAGGCACCGGTTCAGGACTTCGACGGCCTCCTTAGTAGCAGGTGGAAAGGAGTGACAGAGTTGGACGTCATCTGCGTACAGGTGACACCGCACCCCGAAACTCCGGATGATCTCACCCAGCGGCTTCATGTAGATGTTAAACAGCAAGGGGGACAAGATGGAACCCTGAGGAACGCCACAGGTCAACGGCTGTGGCGTTGAACAGGAGTCCCCCCATAACACCTTCTGGGTACGACCCTCCAGAAATGACCGGAGCCACTGCAAAGCAGTGCCCCCAAGACCCATCTCTGCAAGGCGCCCCAGAAGGATACCGTGGTCGACGGTATCGAAGGCCGCTGAGAGGTCCAGGAGCACCAACAGGGACACACTCCCCCTGTCTAGCTCCCGGCGTAGATCATCCACTAAGGCGACCAAGACCGTCTCGGTACCATGTCCCGGTCTGAAACCAGACTGTGCCGGATCCAGACTATCCGTGTCTCTCAAGAATACCTGGAGTTGTGAGGCCACCACGCTTTCCATGACTTTGCCCAAGAAGGGAAGATTGGAAACAGGCCGAAAGTTGTCCAATTTAGTGGGGTCCAGTGATGGTTTCTTCAACAGCGGCTTTATAACAGCCTGTTTTAGGCTCGCTGGAATCTTGCCTTCCCGAAGGGAGGCATTAACCACCACCGTTACCCACTCGGCCAATCCCCCTCTGGCCTCCTTCAGAAGCCAGGATGGGCAGGGGTCTAGGATGGACGTGGTGGGTCTCATTCCTCCAAGTATCTTGTCCACATCCTCGGGTTTCACAAACTGAAAAGAATCCAACAAAATCGGACAAGCAGGTGCTTGTGTCACATCCACGGAGACTGCATTTAAAGTGTCGTCCAGCCCAGAGCGGATCAAAGCGACTTTGTCTGCGAAGAACCGAGCAAATGCTTCACAGCGCGTTGCCGAGTTGTCAGGGCTCCCACCTGGAATAGGGGGAGTTAAAAGACCTCTGACAATCCGAAACAACTCCGCCGGACGGTTTTTTGCAGACGCAATAGTGGCCGCAAAGAAAGTTTTCTTTGCGGCTTTTATTGCCGCGGCATATGCCCTTAAAAAGGACACAAACCGTGCTCGATTTGGCTCGCTTGGGTCCGAGCGCCACACGCTCTCTAGTTCCCTCTTCCTTCGCTTCATCGCTGCCAGCTCCTCAGTAAACCAAGGGGCTGGTTTAGCTCGGCTACTTGAGAGGGGACGTTCCGGAGCGATCATGTCAATTGCCCTAGTCATCTCCCCATTCCAGAGAGCGACCAAGGCCTCGACATGATCACCTACCGCGGTGGCGGGAAACTCCCCAAGAGCCGTCAGGAATCCATTCGGATCCATTAGCCTCCTGGGGCGGACCATCCTAATGGGTCCTCCACCCTTGCGGAGGTTAGGGGGCGCAGTGAGCCTAAATCTAATCAGGAAGTGGTCGGTCCACGGCAACGGAGAGATGGACAACTCCTCCACACCGCCACCCTGCTCCCATCCCTGGCAGAAAACCAAGTCCAATGTGTGTCCAGCACAGTGGGTGGGGCCAGTTATTTGTTGGGACAGCCCCATGGTTGCCATGGCAGACATGAAGTCCTGAGCCGCTCCTGTGAGGGTCGCCTCGGCATGGATGTTGAAGTCCCCCAGCACAAGAAGCCGTTGGGACTCCACCACCAGGCTCGAGACCACCCCCGCTAGCTCAGGTAGGGAGACTGTAGTGCAGCGAGGTGGACGGTACACTAACAGAATCCCTATTCTGTCCCGGTCACCCACCCTCAGGTGGACGCATTCAAAATTTGTGGTCTGCGGGATGGGGCCCCTGGTTAGATGGATGGAATCTCTATAGACCACTGCGACACCGCCTCCCCGTCCTCCGGCTCTTGGTTGGTGTTGCACGGAGAAACCTGGAGGACAAAGCTGGGAGGTTTACGCCCCCCGCTTCATCCAACCAGGTCTCCGTGATGCACGCCAGATCTGCCCGCTCCTCCAGGATTAAATCCTGGATCCAAGTTGTTTTTCCGTTGACAGATCTGGCGTTCAACAACACCACCTTCAAGCCGGAGGGCCCGCTCACCTGGTTACACCAATTTACCTTAGGAGACCTTTTGGGAATAGTTAATTTAGATAAACGGTCCGAATTAGGCCGAATTCGTGGTCTCCTTCTCCCGCATCTCCTCCTTCCCACCACGACCTCTATGGGGGCCCCTCGGCTAGCGGAACACCTCCCCCCCTCCATGCCGCAGTCCCGATCTATGGGGACACTATTTCCTACGGTTGTTGTTCGGTACATAGGTACTTGCCAGCATCTCCCCTCCCCCTCCTCCCCCCTCCCCACCACACCCTCAATCACAGGCTCCAGGCCGCCTCCTCTTCCGCCCCCACCGCTACACCCGAGCAGCAGAAACAATACACAAAGGGGGGCAGGGGACCACATTGGTAACAGCTACACAAATGACGGTCGAAATTCCGACGGCTTCACTAGGGCAGTTCTTAAAACGTTACACCATTAAGCTGTATTTCTGGCATTGGAGAGGGGCTGGCTGCTGACTGCTGGAAGAGCACTTTGGTTTTCTCAATGTTTAATGACAGGCCGAGCTTCTCGTATGCTTCTGTGAAGGTGTTTAGAGTGGCTTGTAGCTCTTCTTCTGAATGCCCATTGTAGGACAAAGCTTGCCAACATGAAGGTGTTATTGTAAACAAGTTCGGATTGGATGTTTTAGCAGTGGATTTTATGTGTTGGCAATGGGTTGGAATCAGTCACCCTTGGAATCCTTTCCATCTCTACAACTCTATTCCATGAGGAGGCCAAGAAACCCATGACTTCTTAGAAATCATGCCATAATATCAACATGGGACATGCAAGCTTTAGAGGAGACATTTGGCTGAGACAATCCAAAAAGCAATAAAATTTGATAACTATATGAAGAAGAAAATTTGCCAAAGCAACCCAAGTTACCTGTTCAACTCGGCAAAGCTTGTCAACGGTGCCTTGGTAGTGTTTCATGCAGTCTTCAGCCAGGTGAAGGTGAGTGGAATACTACAGAAAAGCAGAAGCATCACAAAGATACATTGATAGATGCACAACACTGTGGGCTGAAAAGCTATATCCTCTTTCACAGACTGCAGAGCTGCCCATACATTGCATACAACTTGGAACCCCTTAGTAATCTCCTTAGTAGTCTCACTACACCCACATTTTACTTGAAAACACTATATTGGGGCAATTTTGACTCAAATCAACACATATATACATGTGAATACACATTCCAGCCCCAAAACAGTACATAACCCAGTTCTGTCCGCAAACACAGGCAGTCATAATGTTACGAAAGTGCTGTAGGTTTGTTCACATCACATTCTGTCTCTTGATAATTGGATTATATTCAAGAGTTACTATCCTGGAGAAAAGGGGTCTCCATTGAAGCTTTACCCCAATCCTTGTTTCCACAACAAGACAAATTGTTCACAATCCAATTATCAAGAGACAGAATGTGATGTGAACAAACCTACAGCACTTTCGTAACATTATACATACATATATATATATAAAAATAGTTTATAAAAAAGACTTTGACAATTCGCCAAAAATATGTGTGTGTATACATATATATATATATATATATATATATATATATATATATATATATACACACACACACATATATATACATATATATATATACATATATATATACATACATATATATATATATATAAATAGTTTATAAAAAAGACTTTGACAATTCGCCAAAAATCAGTGGAAAAGCAAAATGTTATGAAACTTGATGGGCAAAGAGTGCTAAATGTGTTCTACCATTGTGGCAAGTTTCACCCCAATAGCTTCAAAAATGAGGGAGATAGGCGCCCCTGAATTTACCCCACTGACTGATGTTTTCAATATATATATTGTTTATAAAAAAAAACTTTGAAAATTCACCAAAAATCCGTGGATAAGCAAAATGTTATGAAACTTGATGGGCAAAGAGTGCTAAATGTGTTCAACAATTTTGGCAAGTTTCACCCCAATAGCTTTAAAAATGAGGGAGATAGGCGCCCCTGAACTTACCCCACCGACTGATGTTTTCCTTAATGCGCATGCGCAATCACCATTAACGAAGTAATTAGGAAATTTTGTTGGTTTCGTTAGAGTTCCAAAATTTTAACCTCCAAAGCATTAGAAACCACCTAGTTTTGTAAGTATTTTAGAACCATTTTTAATGGATTGCACATGCCTAAATATACCTTGCACCAAACACAGATACAGAATTGACATACGGTACCAATAGAATGTCAATCAAAACTCATTGATTGAAAGTTATAATAACATAAATAAAAGTGATGCTATCAAAATTCAGAGTTAACAAAACCACCGTGGCACACCATGGCAGCTGCTTAAAGTCTGAATACACCTAATGGTCCTTCTCAAAATGGGAACGTACCTTGCTGAGTTCCTTCTGATACTGGGGCATCTTCTTCAGCATCTGGGAAAGGTCCCTCATGGTGGTCTGAAAGGTACAAAAATGGGCCGGTCACCAAGGAATCAGCTTTCCAAAAGCACCTTGACAAGAACAATGGTCTCTTCCAACCCTTTTGTGATTCTATGAAATCTTTGATAGTTTTTGTAGAGTTCGGACTCAAATCCAGAGCAGAGAAACTGGTCTACCTGCCATAAGGCTCTGCTCTTATTTATTTATTATTATTTATTTACAACATTTTTACCCCGCCCTTCCCAACTCCCGAGGGGAGACTCAGATGCCGCAATATCACAATTTAACAACAATATAAAATCATAAATTCACAATAGATTAAAAACAATAACATTGATTATACAGTTATATAGCCATTTCCATTATCATAGCAATCGCATGGTTCTGTTCAATGTCCAAAGTGCCACTTTGCCTGCTAGCTGAAAGCCTGGTTCCAAAACCACGATTTGAATTTTTCTCCTAAAGGAAAGGAGGGAGAACCCCGATCTAATCTCACTGGGGAGCGAATTCCACAAGCAGGGGCCACCACCGAGAAGGCCCTGTCCTCATCCCCACCAGACACGTTTGCGAGGCCTGTGGGATCGAGAGCAGGGCCTCCCCAGTGGATCTTAAACTATGAGGTGGAACGTAGAGGAAGATACATTTGGACAAGCAAGCTGGACCGGAGTCATATAGGGCTTTATAGGCCAAGGCCAGCACTTTGAATTGTGCTTGAAAATGGACCGGCAGCCAGTGGAGTTGACATAACAGGGGGGTGGTGTGCTCCCTGTATGGCACTCTGGTGAGCAATCTGGCTGCCGCCCGTTGGACTAGCTGAAGTTTCCAAACAGTCTTCAAAGGCAACCCTACATAGAGTGCATTGCAGTAATCTATTTGGGATGTAACCAGAGCGTGGACCACCGTGGCCAGATCAGACTTCGCAAGGTACGGGCGCAACTGGCGCACAAGTTTTAACTGTGCACAAGCTCTCCCGGCCACCACTGAAACCTGGGGTTCCAGGCTCAGCGATGAATCCAGGATCACACCCAAGCTGCGAACCTGCGTCTTCAGGGGGAGTGTAACCCTGTCCAACACAGACTGTAACCCTATGCCCTGTTCGGCCTTTCGACTGACCAGGAGGACCTCTGTCTTGTCTGGATTCAATTTCAGTTTGTTAGCCCTCATCCAGTCCGACACAGCTGCCAAGCTCTTATGGCAATGTTTGGATCCCTCTATTCTCTTATTAGACTCGGCAATCCTTACAAATGGCTCTGTTTGTAAATGTCCCAAAGCTGAAGGGGATGCAAAAGGTTGCCACATCTGGAAAATGTGTTCACGACTGAGATCGGATTCAATGCCAAAGGAGGACAAAGTGCTTCCAGCATTGTTACCTGGGACCGCTCCCTGAAGGCACCCTTGTTGGACCCTAGATTTGCCACCCCAAAACAATGTTGTTCCTTCCCTTCTGCAACGAATTCCGAGATACCACGTTGCATACACACCAAGAATGTCAACATACTTATACAAACAGATGGATAAAGTAAATCCATAGCCAGAATGTCTGTGTTTCTAGATGTAAACAAAGCATTCCTTCAACCATTTTGTGGACATTTTGAAATACCCTTTCCACCACCCCTTCCCCTGCCGTGCCCTTCAGGCAAAACTTACTTTTTCACCAGTACTCATCCTTTTACTGGAGGAGAAATCTTTCAGCGAGCGAGTGACCTCCCTAGAATGGAATGAGAACCAGAATGAGAAATCTAGCCTTCGTGAAAGTCACTCTCATGTCCCATACTAGAAAGGCAGGACAATTATATAATATCCACCACCATCATTGGTTAAGAACGCAATAGGGGCAGCGGTTGCGCAATGGGTTAAACCCTTGTGCTGCTCTGAAGATTGGCAGTTCGAATCCGAGGGGCGGGGTGAGCTCCCACTGTTAGCCCTAGCTCCTGCCAACCTAGCAGTTCGAAAACAAGCAAATGTGAGTAGATCAATAGGTACGGCTTTGATGGGAAATAGGCAAAAAGACACCCCAGTCATGCCAACCACACGACCAGGAGATGTCTATTATTATTATTATTATTATTATTACTATTATTATTATTATTATTATTAAAAACATTTATATTCCACTCTTCTCACCCCAAAGGGGACTCAGGGCGGAGCACAGCATATACACGGCAAACATTCAATGCCGGGACGTAAATTCACATACAATATATAAACATTAAAAAACATTTATCAAAATATTAAAATACACCATTTAAAACCATCCTAGCCATCTGCACCAAATCCAATTGGCCCTTTCATCTTTCCCACTGCCGCTTTATTGCCCTGTCCTGAAAGCTTGGCCCCACAGCCAAGTTTTTACCATCCTTCTAAAGGACAGGAGGGAGGGGGCTGACCTGATCTCACCAGGAAGGGAGTTCCATAGCCTAGGAGCAATTACCGAGAAGGCCCTGTCTCTCGTCCCCACCAATTGCCCCTGTGACAATGGTGGGACGGAAAGCAGGGCCTCCCCGGAGGATCTTAATCTCTGTGATGGTTCATAGGAGGGAAGATGCGTTCGGAAAGGTAAATTCGGCCAGGGCCTTTGAGGGCTTTATAGACCAAAGCCAGCACTTTGAATTGTGCCCGGTAGCAAACTGGCAGCCAGTAGAGCTGGCGTAACATGGGAATTGTACGCTCCCTGTATGCTGCCCCAATTATTAACCTGGCTGCCTCTCGTTGGACTATTTGAAGCTTCCGAGTAGTCTTCAAAGGCAACCCCACATAGAGTGTGTTGCAGTAGTCTATCCTAGATGTAATGAGAGCGTGGACCACCGTGGCCAAGTCTGACTTCCCAAGGTATGGTCATGGCTGGTGCATAGTACAATATCAGTATTAAGTATTACTATATTGTATTACACCATTATATTTTAATATTATTAGTCTATATACTTGGGATGTTTGGAATATTTCAGGGCTTAGTAGAAAATTAATTTTGGAATATTCTAGGAGCACATCGGGCTGCAAGCAAAGACCTGTTACAGTCCACATAGCCTGCATTTCCTCCCAGAAAAACACATAAAAGTATAGAAATAATACTAGAGCGCTCCCTCTTACTGGGACACTTCGGCAATGTGTTTGTGGCGCAAAGTAACCCAGAGGTCATCATCCTCATCCAGCAGAACCTCCTTGACCCGAGCTTCTCCGATGCCGCTGGTCTCATACCTGGAGACAGACAGAGAGACAAAAGGCCTCATCAAAAGTCAAGAAAGGACCATTGAGCCTATGGCAGGAAGTTTTGGAAACTGAAAAGAGAACAACCAGATTGGGGGCGGCGTCAGTGAGCCCCAAAACCGAGGGACCCTTACTTGTACACGTCGTTTTCGATGGGGAGGAGGTCATAGCTCATGGCTTGGAAGGTCAGTTCGTGGAGCACCGGGGAGCTTGGGTCAAAGCCACGGTCTAAGATGATGAGCTGGGAGCGAGCTTTGTCTGGACCCTGAGGAGAGAAAGAAGCGCTCGTCGGCCTCTTAAGATATTATTACGACTTCTTTTCCCCACTGGCTACAAAAGGAGCTGTATAAGTTCTAATGGCACAGTGACAGATAGGCAGGCTGAAGTGGTCACCCACTAAAGCCCAGACTGGATGGCCTTTGAGGGTCCCTTCCAACCCTATTGTTGTTGTTACTACAGTGAATTATTGGTTGCCCTCTTCACTCTTTGGAAGAACTGTATACCCTATTTTTCAGCCTTTTTTTAAGTCTGAAAAAGCCCCCCTTGGCTTATACTTGAGTCAAGGCTATAGATTATTTTACTCTGGTATTCTTATTTTTATTACATTTATAATTTTATTCTTCTTCTTACATTTATATTATTTTATTCTATTTATTATTATTATTACATTTAATATTTTACTCTATTATTATTACATTTCATCTTTTACTCTATTTATTATTATTACATTTATTATTTTACTTCATTTATTATTATTATTACATTCATTTTACTCTATTATTATTATACTTATTTTACTCTATTATTATTACATTTCATATTATACTCTATTATTATTACTTTTATTATTTTACTTCATTTATTATTATTATTACATTCATTTTACTCTATTATTATTCTACTTACTTTACTCTATTATTATTACATTTCATATTATACTCTATTATTATTACTTTTATTATTTTACTTCATTTATTATTATTATTACATTCATTTTACTCTATTATTATTATACTTATTTTACTCTATTATTATTACATTTCATATTATACTCTATTATTATTACTTTTATTATTTTACTTTATTTATTATTATTACTACATTTCATATTTTACTCTATTATTATTACATACATTTTACTCTGTTATTATTATGTTTATTATATTACTTTGTTTATTATTATTACATTTCATATTTTATTTATTATTATTATTACATTCATTTTACTCTATTTATTATTGCATTTAATATTTTACTCTATTTATTATTATATTTATATTACTCTATTATTACAGTTAATATTTTACTCTAATTATTATTGTTGTTGTTGTTATTATAATTAGTTTAATCTATTATTATTACATTTATTATTCTACTCTATTATTATTGGAAGGATACATAAGCACATTTACATTGAAGAAAGTTAGAATAATGGTTTAATCAGAGTTGGACAGTCTTATCTTAAATTACAGTTTTATGTAAATATTCAAAAACATTTAACCTACTGATGCCTCAATTAATGTAATTTTATTGGTATCTATTTTGAAATGTACCCGTAGCTGCTGCATTTTCCACCCTAGATTTATACTCGAGTCAATACATTTTCCCAGTTTTTTGTGGTTAAATTGGATGCCTTGCCTTATATTCAGGTGGGCAAGTATATACATTAATTCCCAGTGCCTTAAGAAAGCTCAAAATATACTTAAGAATCTATTTCACTATGGATTTTTTAAACTATTATTGCCATCTGGCAGATGGTATAGGACCATCTCACAGGTCATCTCTACATAGATGGAGCCAATCATGACTCCTCTGTCTGTTGCACTGGAGGAACTACTGTACTCACCTCGCCCATTGTCGGGTCGTCTGCTTTGTAAGCGTCCAGTTTGTCCTGGATCAGCTGGGCCAACATGGCGTTGTCTTTGTAATCCCTGTAGAGAGGAGGTGGAAAATACGAGGGTTGAATGAAAAGTAATGCCTCCACCTTCGTTACTTGGGTTTAGATGGGAATATTTTAATAAATCAAATGCAGAAATAATCCTTAGAATGTGCTCTTTAACTACCACTATTCACTTTTCCATACAATCACCAGACACCAAACAGAAGAACAGCCTGCTTCAGGGGAGTGTGCTTGCTCCATCCATGTTCAACATCTACACAAATGACCAGTCACTGCCAGAACGGACAGAGAGCTTCATCTATGCTGATGATCGTGCCATTACCGCTCAAGCAAGGAGCTTTGAGATGATTGAACAGAAGCTCTCTGAAGCTCTAGGTGCCCTTACTGCCTATTACAGAGAAAACCAGCTGATCCCCAACCCATCTAAAACACAGACATGTGCTTTTCACCTTAAGAACAGACAAGAATCCGGAGCTCTGAGGATCACCTGGGAAGGAATCCCACTGGAGTACTGCAGCGCATCCAAATAACTGGGAGTCACTCTGGACTGTGTCCTGACCTACAAGAAGCACTGCCTGAATATCAAGCAAAACGTTGGCGCTAGAAATAATATCATACGAAAGCTGACTGGCACAACCTGGGGATCACAACCAGACACAGTGATGACATCTGCCCTTGCGCTGTGCTACTCTGCTACTGAGTATGCATGCCCAGTGTGGAACACATCTCACCATGCTAAAACAGTGGATGTGGCTCTTAATGAGACATGCTGCATTATCACGGGGTGTCTGCGCCCTAAACCACTGGAGAAATTACACTGCTTAGCCGGTATTGCACCACCTGACATCCGCCGGGAAGTAGCAGCCAATAGTGAAAGGACCAAGGCAGTGACATCTCCAGCTCATCCCCTGTTTGGGTATCAGCCAGCATGTCAACGACTTAAATGAAGAAATAGTTTTCTAAGATCTACAGAGACACTTGCTGGAACACCCCAGCAAGCAAGAGCCCAAAAGTGGCAGGCTCAAACCCAGAACCTCAATCAATGGCTGATACCAAATGAGAAACTCCCCCCTGGGCACACAGAGGACTGGGCGACTTGGAAGGTGCTGAACAGACTGCACTCTGGCACCATGAGATGCAGAGCCAATCTTAAGAAATGGGGCTACAAAGTGGAATCCACGACATGCGAGTGCGGAGAAGAGCAAACCACTGACCACCTGCTGCAATGCAGCCTGAGCCCTGCCACATGCACAATGGAGGACCTCCTTGCGGCAACACCAGAGGCACTCCAAGTGGTCAGATACTGGTCAAAGGACATTTAATCAACTACCAAGCTTGCAAATTCTGTGTTTTGTTTGTTTGTTAAAAAGTAATACAACTGTCTGGTTGCGCCTGACACGATAAATAAATAAACCAGATAACTGGATACTGCCAACTATGAACAAGTTTTCTGAAGCTGTCACGGAAGAAGTCGACACTCTTGTTTCCGCAACCAGCATCTTACAGTTCTCTCAATGTCTTCATCAGAAGCATAATGATGTCCCCGCAGATCTTCTTTCGTTATCGGGAACAGAAATGCCAATTATGGTTGAAATTTCTCTCTGACCAATACGACGATCGTCCTGAATCAATCTGTCAACCTTTTGCTTGTGAAACTCGGTGGATGTCACAGGACATCCAACTCTTGGTTTGTCACGCAAGTCAGATGTTCCCACCTCAACATCTTTAAACTTACTCACCCAACGATGCACAGTACTTGTGCTAGTACGGCTGTGCCAGGAGTTTGAATTTCTTTTTCTTGCATGGCTAGTTTGTTTAAGCTTTATTTGGACTATGCATTTTGCAATAAGGTAGCTTCCCCAAGTTGCAATCATAGGACCAACGATCTATCAATCATCATTAGAGCCTCTAGATCCGCCCCTTTCCCCTGGTTTGTGGGATTGACATAACTCAAAAAACACTAGAAGAATTGACACTCAATTTGGACACTATACCACTAACAGACCAACAAGTGACCATCACTCATAAAGCCCCCCCCGCAAAAAAAACAGCAGAAAAATTTTACAAACCCAAAAAAGCAAAATGATGAAAAGCTAAATGATGATACATAAAAACAGGGAAGGAAGAGGATAGAGAAAAAGAGAAGGGGAGGGAGGGAAAGAAAGAAGGAAGCATGGAAGCAAAGAGCGAAGGAAAGAAGGAAAAGGTCGAGAAAGAAGAAGGAAAGGAAAAAGGGAAGGAAGGAAAGATATAGAGAAGGAAGGAAGGAGAGAAGGCAGGAAAATAAAGCAAGGAAGGAAAGACGGGAGAGAAAGAAGGAGAGAAAGAGGGAGGAAAGGAAAGAAGGAAAGAGAGAAGGAAGGATGAAAGCGAAAAGCAAAGGAAGGAAGGAAAGAGGTAGAGAAGGAAGAAAGGAGAGAAAGGAAAAGAAAAAGAAAAGGGGGGAAGGAAGGGATTAGGTAGAGAAGGAAGGAAAGAGGGAAGGAAGAGAAGGAGAGAAAAGAAGGAAGGAAGAAGGAAAAGAGAGAGGAAGGAAGGAAGAAAAGCAAGGAAGGAAGGAAAGGAGGTAGAGAAGGAAGAAAGAGAGAAAGAAAAGAAAGAAAAAGGGGGAAGGAAGGGAAGGTAGAGAAGGAAGGAAGAAAAGGGAAGGAAGAAAGGAAAGAGGAAGGAAGGAGGGAAAGAAGGAGAGAAAGAGGGAGGGAGGGAAAGAGAGAAGGAAGGATGGAAGCAAAAAGCAAAGGAAGGAAGGAAAGAGGTAGAGAAGGAAGAAAGGAGAGAAAGGAAAAAAGAAAAGAAAGAGGAGGGAAGGAAGGGAAGAAGTAGAGAAGGAAGGAAAGAAAAAAGGGAAAGAAGGAAGGAAAGAGGGAGTGAAGGAAGGAGGGAAAGAAGGAGAGAAAGAGGGAGGGTTGGCCAAAGCGACGCATGGCGGGTATAGCTAGTGTGTGTGTGTGTGTACACACACACACACACACACACACACACATCTATATGGTGAAATCACCATCAGCAGTGTTTAGTGTGTCTAACTTACCCTCTGTATCGAACGGCTGGGTATTCCTTCAAAGTGGCACAGAGGGTTGCAATCTGCTCTGCCAGGCGCTCCAAGATGGGATTCTTCATCTGAGCCTTGTGAGGACTGTAGAAGCTTTGGAAAGAGTCGCCAGAGTCCAGGGAGTAAACCTGCAACAATATACAATAATATAGATGGGTTCCTGAGTGAAATGTATATACATTTAAACCTGCAACAAGCCATGGCAATAAGGCTGAGACACGGTGTATCTACACTGCAGATCAAATGCAGTTTGGCACCACTTGGTGGCAAGGTATAAATAAAGTCTATTATTATTATTATTATTATTATTATTATTATTATTATTACTACTACTACTACTAGCTGTACTCGCCACGCGTTGCTGTAGCCAACCTTCCTTCCCTCTTTCTCTCCTTCTCTCTTTCTTTCTCTTCTTCCTTCTCTCCCTCTTTCCTTCCTTCCCTCTTTTTCTTTCCCTTCTTCTTTCTTCCTTCTCTACCTGTTTCTTTTCTCGCTTCCTTTGCTCTTTGGTTCCATCCTTCCTTGTCTCCTTCCTTCCTTCTCTCCCTCTTTCTCTCTTTCCTTCCTTCCCTCTTTCACTTTTTTATTTCCCTCTCTCCTTCCTTCTCTACCTTTCTTTCCCTCCTTCTCTCCTTCCTTCCTCCTTTCTGTATATATGTTTTGTGAGTGCATAACTATGTGTATATATTTGTGTATATGTATGTTTGTTTTGCGCATGCGTTGTAATGTAATTTTTATTGGGTTTTTTTTGTTTGTTTGGTTTTTTTTGCTTTTTAAGTCTCTTCCTATGTGTTTTCCAGTATTTTTATGAGTGATGGTCACTCATTGGCCTGATAGGTGTATTCTGTCCAAATTTGGTCTCAACTCATCTAGTGGTTTTTGAGTTATGTTAATCCCACAAACTAACATTACATTTTTATTTATATAAATTATTATTATTACTAGCCGTCCCACATGAGGGTTCTGTGTGGGAGGTTTGGCCCAATTCTATCGTTGGTGGGGTTCAGAATGCTCTTTGATTGTAGGTGAACTATAAATCCCAGCAACTACAACTCCCAAATGTCAAGAATCTATTTCCCCCAAACTCCACCAGTGTTCACATTTGGGCTTATTGAGTATTTGTGTAGAGTTTGGTCCAGATCCATCATTGTTTGAGTGCACAGTGATCTCTGGATGTAGGTGAAGTACAACTCCAAAACCAAAGGACACTGCCCACCAAACCCTTCCAGTATTTTCTGTTGATCATGGGAGAACTATGTGCTACGTTTGGTTCAGTTCTATCATTGGTGGAGTTCTTTGATTGTAGGTGAACTATAAATCCCAGCAACTACAACTCCCAATGACAAAATCATGTTGTTTTTAGTGATGGTCACTCCTTGGGTTAGGGCAGTGGTTCTCAACCTTCGTAATGCCGCGACCCCTTAATACAGTGCCTCACGTTGTGGTGACCCC